CCTCCTCCGAGTACTTACTCTCCTAATTTCTTTCATGGAGGGTTCCCGGAGGGCGGTCGGGCATATACGGACGTAAGCACTCGTTCAGGTAGCCAGGACCCAAGCCGTTTAGGGCTTTATAGGTCATAATGTTATAATAATAATAATAGAAATGTTATAATAATAATAATAATAATAATAATAATAATAATAATAATAATCAACACCTTGAATTGGGCCCGGGCTTCAATGGGAAGCCAGTGAAGCTGACGGAGGGCTGGAGTCATGTGAGCATAACGCCGCATCCCCGTCAGCAACCTGGCAGCTCTATTTTGCACCAATTGAAGTGTTCGGACCGTCTTCAGGGGAAGCCCCACGTAAAGCGCGTTACAGAAGTCTAGGCGGGAAGTCACCAGCGCGTGTGTCACCGTCGCCAGGCAGTCGTACTCCCGGTAGGGGCGCAGCTGATTAATCAGCCGAAGCTGAAGGAAGGCGCTCCTCGCCACCGCTGTCACCTGAGCTTCCGAAGAAAGCTCCGGGTCAAGGAGTACTCCTAAGCTGCGGACCTTGTCCCTAAGAGGGAGTGCTGCACCATTCAGGACCAGGTCAAATCCACCCTCTCCGAAGCCCCATCCGCCAACCAACAGGACCTCCATCTTGTCTGGGTTGAGTTTCAGTTTATTGGCCCTCATCCATTCCCTTACGTCGGCCAAGCACCGGTTCAGGGTATCATCAGCGTATTGATGATTCCGCAGCCCACACCTCCTGATGACCTCTCCCAGCGGTTTCATATAGATGTTAAATAGCAGAGGGGATAGAATGGAGCCCTGTGGTACTCCATGGCATAGCTGCCATGACGTAGAGACAGTGCAAGCAATGGAAAAGAAACATGTTGTTCATTCAGTTCTAATTATCGTGGAAAAAAGAAGTTATTGTGTTTATTTATTTTATTTATTTATTACAGCATTTATATCCCATCCTTCCATGAAAGCACTCAGGATGGCTTACATAATATAAAATTATGAAATACAATATTAAAACTACAATTATTAAAATTATTAAATTATCTAAAATGGAACATTATAAACTAAACTAAAAAATTGAAAAAATAGAAAGTGCGCCTGAAAACAAAAAGAAACAAAAAATCTTAAAATGTCTAAAATCCATTAATTGTTAAAATGGTGGTTAAATAAAAAGGTCTTTACCTGGTGCCAGAAAGAGTATAATGTCTAGGAGAGAAGCTAGAGAGATAAATTAGCAACCACATTCAGTTATAGATTTCAGCCACTGTCAACTTAACAAATGACATTTCTACCCCTTTGCTTCACTCCAGGTGAAGCCAGCACTGGTCAGGAAAGCCCTTTCTAGCACTAGTCTGTTCTTTGACATTGCATGAATGAATTATGCATTAGAGCATGCCTTAGGTACAAACCATCACATTTTTAAAAAATCAATATTTTGCATTTGTAAGCCTATTTATATTTTTCCTGAATATGCATATTATTAATTTGTGAGACAAATAGCTTTAAATAAAAAGGCATTTTCCTTTATGACCTTTTAAAGAGAGCTGCATTCATAGCCTCCAGTGAGTCTGATCATTTATTATAATTAAATATTCAGTTATCCAGCTTGATAGTTATCTCCTCACTGGCAGAGATCTAATACAAAGGTGAAAATGATAGCAGAGATGAGAACCCCAAGGAAACATAAGAACATAAAGAAGAATTCTACTTGATCAGACCCAAGTCCTCTTTAGTCCAGCACTCTGTTCTCACAATAGTCAATTGTATACCTGTGCAAAGTCCACAAGCTGAGCATGAATTCAATAGTGTGCACATGCTCACACATACATGCACATTTGCTTTCCACAGCCATTCATACTGGGAGGCCTATTGCCTTTAATGCAGGGCATTATGTATGTCCATTGTGGCTAGAAGGTAATGACAGTGTTATCATCCATGAATTGTGTGACCCTCCTTTTAAAGCTATCCATATGGCATCACCACAACTTGCAGAAACAAATTACCTAATATAACTATGATCTGTACTTCTTTTTGCCTGTCCTGGATCTTTTCATGTCCAGCTTTATTAGATGACCCTAGGCTCTAGTATTTTGAGAGAACTCTATCCACTTTCCTTCGCTCATAATAGTGAGAGATCTAGTAACCCTAGATAGGGAAGGGAGGTTGGCAGCCATGGCTTCTGCAAAAACAGGTCCTGGCAGACAAACCTTGTGGAATTCTATGACATTCATGCAGACAGTCCCAGGGTCAATCCTCAGCTTCTTCAGGAAAAACTCCTGCCTGAAACCCTGAAGAGCTGCTGGTAGTCAAAGTCAACAATATTGGTATAGATGGACGAAGATCCAACTAGTAGAAGCAATGTTCCCAAGTAGACAAAGCAAAGACCTGTATCTGGCGTGAAAGAAGCAGAGTGAAATACGACTGGGCAGTCTAGAAGATAGTGGAGACAGGAAGGATTGGAATGCCGAAGAGAGACCACTTTTATGTACCTGTGCAGCGCCTCCACCATTCTTCTCATTTTCAGGGTGCAACTTTAGCAGCGAAGGCAACAGCTCTTATTTGCGCTGCTACTATTCATAATAGCCCCTAGGGTCAGGCTGAAATAAATCCCACATTTTAGTTGTGGCTCTGTTTCCCTAAGTTGGGCAATTCACTCTACTGATAAGAGAGAAGTTCAATATGTTTATCTATGTATACACACACAGATATATATGAATATTGAAGAGGTGTTTTGTGATTTGCACAAAAACAAAGTCAGTTTGAGGATAGTTCTGAATGCTGATGGGACACGTGCTCGTCTTTTTGCCCTCTAGCAAGACATTCAGAGTTTGCATTTTTCATCATCCTGTCACTGCCATTTGGGTTTGCTTGCTCCTTACTTTTATGGGTTTAAAAAAGAAAGAGAGAGAGAGGGAGAATAAAACTATGACTTTCCAAGGGGAGATATTGTATTACGGAAAAGCATGTTAGTGGGACAGTGAAATAAGTAGCACATTTTAGTTATTAGGTATTCTTACCAGAGATTAGAGGGAAAGAGAATCACTATCTATCTTATTCCTACATTATAACACATTGGTAACCCAATGGCTGATTTTAAAATAGGAAAATCTGCCTTGAAAGAAGAGCCTCCGCTGAAAATCTTAAGACCAATGCAGGATCATAGGGGAGAAAGCCATATTTCAGGTAGTCTGGCTCCAAGCTATATAGGCATTTATAGATCAGGACTGTGAATTCTGCCTGGAATCAGATTGGTAGCCAATGATGCTGTTGTAAAAACAGACTCTGAGTCAACACTCTGAGGCCGCCCCATGCCGAATGGCTGTAGCAGTCCAAAGGTGTTCTGAGCATGAGGACTGCAGCTTAGACTCAATTTCACTGGGGTTCACTGGAAAACCTACCAGTGACTAAAGTATTGCCCAACAAAAATTTTGCATCACTGTTCTGAATTAAATTAAGAAAGGAAACAACCTGTAGCAGACATGGGGATGTAATTACACAAAGAAAGAATGCTATTTTAGTGCTCTTGTTAACTGGAAGGAGCAAATAGTATATTTTAATGGAAATGGACACTTCAATATGCATGTAAGCATTCAAATGTAGTTAGTCATATTTCCTGTTCAGCTCATAACAAATAAAATAGCAATTGCTTTCACTGATTTATATATAGTGAAATTCTACATTTCATATATTGGGTAGACTCAG